GAGCGCAGCGAACGAGCTCCAACCTAAAGGTGAGTGAGCGTAGAGAACGAACTTCAACCAGGACGTGATTGAGCCATGCGAACGAGCTCACATATGAAGTTAAACGGGGCAAAGCCCGCGGGTACAGCTAGTATATATATATATATATATATATACATATATAGATTTTTTTAGAAAACCCTGTACATTTGACGTCTATGAATATTAAGACATTATAATTCTACAACATCCAGCATAATAAATTGACCTTTAGAATATTAGTCGGCAGTTATATACGTTTGTTTAAACGTATATAACGTTTAAACCCCAAAGTAGTAAAATTTAATCTGGACTTGGAAACCGCAGTTATAGTTCTCAAAGTTGTTTGAAACTTGGCAAAGTTTTATGTACAGATTTTCCTCTAGTGTTGGCTCGGGTTTTGTTGTTCAGTCGTGTCAGTTTGGAGGATTTCAACGAGAAATATCTTTTATCAATAATCTTAGGCCATAATTTTTATCCACAAATAGTATAGTATAAGCAAACGTTTTTTCACTAATATAAGTATTTAAACTATTTTATCTATTGGATACAAATTCGAAGGCAGAATTAAATCGAAATGTAATTTCATTGGTCTTTCTTGGACATTTTACAATGTTAGCTAAGTTTATTACTGTCATTTAAGAGAGTTAAATAAGACTAGTAACAACAAGTGATGTATATAAAATTAGATAATAATCTATAGACTCAAGTTTACCCTTACAATTTATAACAGTAAGAAACTAACTTTTGATAAAATATTTAAAACTTAACAGTCGACGGCAATTATTTTATGAAAGAAATTATATTCCTTAAATAATGTAATATAGTATTTAAATCCTACGTGCACTCATTTAACTAATAAGTAAATAAAGGTAAACATGATTGCACAAAAAATAGATAGAACTAATCTTAGCACTCCAAAAGTGACAAACAAATTGAGTTTCAAGTAGGATTTTGAAATTGTTCTTTAATTAAATAACTTATTTGAGTTTCAAGAGACTTTGGGAGGACAATCCATCCAATCAGTAATGCAAATATTTGTCGAGATTCTCTTTTGTTTTATAATATGAAGTTGAGATAACGTTTCTGATTTCCTCAAGTATTTCAACTGGTGAAGCTTATGTTAATATTTTATTAATGAAAATAAATACGAAAAAATGTAGTGAACAAATCGTTTAGTTTGAAGAAACAGACTTTTCACTACACTGTCGGGTGAGTTTTAGTTCTCAAAATCGTACGCAAATTTATCGTTTTCAGGTAACTTGAATAGGGGACAGGAAAAACATATGGTAAATTTTCGGTTTGCTAACCTCAAAATGTTATCAGTACAGTAAGAAAACGTGGCTAGCAACATGATATTTAAAGTTATGTTTGTAAACATCAGAAATGTAAACATTGATGACGACTTTGTACTACCCCCAATTAAGTGGTCCAATTTTGTAAGGGTTAGTAGTTTATTTCCACAGTATGATAAAAATAGTTGTTCATCACACGGAGCGAAACTGTCTTTTAACCACACTATGTTTTTGGCTGTATTACATACGTTAATTGGTGGCTGAAAGTTACGTTTTGCTGGCCATGCCAGCTGTCATCGTAATTTGGGGACCGAGCAGGTTTTTACAGGCCGGGGCCGCAAAATCAGCTGTCCGCTTACTTAAAACAAGAATGCATTTTAAATACAAAATCAAAATCCATAGCATTGCAATAGAATTGTGTTATTGTCACCGTTGCCTAGCAATTATTTATTTTTATTTTTGCTGATTCCTCAAGTTATTTCTTCACATAACCTTAAAGTTGTAGTTGTGTTGACTATCAGTGTCCATTATATTATAGTGGTGAATAGTGGTAATAGGGTATAGTGTGGTGAAAAATAGCGTTCGTACCACGGACCGAAATTTTCGGCCCTAGGTACGAAATATACTATTTTGTTACTTAATCGTATTTCCAATCCAAAGTGCGACTCACTTGTAAAACACGATTGCGAACCAAAAAGAGCCACTTTCGCTCCTAGTGATGAAAACTAGGGACTATTTAAATCGCCTGTACCTTTCACAATGGATACACTACGGTTGAAAGACATAGTGTTCATATATGTTTCCATATGTTTCAAAATAATTGATCACACCCTAGCTTTTAATATTGTCCGAGTGCGCTGCTGCCAAACAATGTTGTTTATTTCGACTTATACCAAAATAAAAAATATAAACTAGGGTGGAACTAAGATTACTTCTACACAAGCTAAGTTAGTGCGGCATAAGTATGGCGATACAATTATGAATCACGTCAAAACCGAATTAAAACTGTGAAAGCCTTGTAAAGAAGAAAAAGGCTAACTCAGGTAAATGACAGCTAAAAATTATAAGGTTGGTGGCAAAAACCGATTTTAGAAATGTGCAATAACCGATGTGAAGAACCATCGTAAGTTCTGACTGCGTCCGCGATGACACCTTTAATTGTCCAAGTTTTCGAGATATTCACACCAAGTTCGTCCTGTGAAGCTCGAGTTTGGAATTTGTGGAATTAGAAAACACTAGACTTTAACTGATTAAAAATTCGAATCGGAAAGTTTCTAGGAATTAAATATCGGTGTAATTATTGGTTGAGAGGTTACAAAAATCAAATTGTAACAAAGGGGTAAATTAATTTATGCGCGGCTTTGAATTAATTTAAATGGAAATGCACACGAGTAGTACAGTAATTGGGGCGATTTTTGGGTTCATCTAGGTCACTCGAATCAAGCGAAATCTAGATGCTAGATTTTTACATTGTTAATCCGGTACTCTGTCTGCGGTTAAATATTACATTTTCAAAATATTGGAATGCTACACAACTCTTACACAGTAACATTATTTTAGTTTCAGGAAGATTTTGGGCAAAGTATCACATGCTGCACGTCGTCATAAAATTATTGCTTACTAGCAGAGTACCCGTCCTTCGTACGGGGTTGGCATAGAAGTATAAAATGCTTATTGCAGTTACGGGAGAGGACACGGTTTAAGGAAATTTGGTCTTTAAATTTATACGGAATCCTATGGTGTAGCACACATCTACCATAGCCCTATTTTTCTACAACTGCACCTAAACCATAGAAAAATTAAAGCTTTCATTGTGTACCACAACTTTTTGTTGTTAGTTGGTTCAAATTAGCTGTTGTAATAAATGCAAAAAACATAATAGTGCTGCACCTTGTTGGTAAGCCTTACTTTTAATGCTATTTAATATCATAGAACCAACTTGTACAGTTGAAACGGCTGACAAAATTCTTTTATTCCCTTAATATGAATACTCATAAGGCTAACATGAGAAAATCCAGAGCCAGAGCTACTGGGGCCGATCCTAAAAGTGTTTTTGAGGTAAGAATATGTCTATATATTAATCGGGAATGTCAGCTATCATCACACCAAATTTCAACCTTATCGGTTTAGTATTTATTTAAGTGTATTTGTCACATGCAAAAGAGATAATGTTGGTTCTTTGAAAATGCCAAATGGTATCACTCCTACCATTTAATTCAGAAACAAAATATAACTGTATAACTTAACTCGATAATAGTACGTTTTGGTTAACTAATACCGTTCATACTTATTTAGGCTACCTACGATACAAAACCAATGATAGATTTTAAGGTACAGTAAAGGAACGTGTTTAATGGTTTGCACTGTAAACAAAAAAACCAACACAACAGTTACAAACCGAAAAATAGAAAAAAATGGAAAATATAAATAAATATGGAAAATAGGGTAATTTTATACAACAATATTTTAGTGAAATTATAATCAGGAAAATGGAAATTCACTCAGTCCATAGACTTGCTGCGGCAGGGGGATTATATTGCTGTTTACACAGAAATAAATAAAAAAAATAAACCTCATAAAACTTAGGTTAATGGCCTGGCAATGATTATAGAATCTTAATTATTTCTTATATCCATGAATGATTTATTTTACAACGAATTATTCCCTGTAAAATATTATTACAGCATTTCACAAATATTAGTACAAACTCAGAATAATAGATCATAAACATAAACAAATGAAGTAACTGAAAGAATCATAAACTAAAGAAATTACTGTACATTAACATATGGTTTGACAGCTCCATTTAAGTAATGTTAAATAATGTTTACATTCGGGCTAGTGACATCATTATTTAAAATTTATTATCCTTACCCTCTCTGTTCTAATATTCGTGCAGTATTTAATATGTTTGAAGCAGCTGTGTGGAATTGTGAAATCAAAATTCATTTGACAGTTAGTTCTGCTTGTTTACATTTTTAAACTTTGCAGGTTTGTTTTTTGTTACCATGGATACCATAAATTAATATTTACTTTTAAATCTCTCACCTCAAATTTTTGAAAGCCCACGGGGCAGAGCCCTAGGACAATATCGAAGCGGGAATAGTTCTATATGTATCCTCGGAGCTGTAGCTTCATTTGTGTACAATTTGAGCCCAGTAGGTTCAGTAGTTTTTGAGATTAGCTCATACAAACACACAGACACCACCTCTTCTTTATAATAGTATAGATAATAATACGTTGCATGTTACGGCCATTGATTGATTACATCAATCGATAATTTTCTGTGTGGATGTGTATTGTAACTACTCGGTACCAACAAATCACGGCCAAGATTCAAAGTTGCTAGAAAAGTATTAAAAGCCTTCAAATGACTTGTCATCGAGCCATTGTAAAAGTAATTTAAATATTACAATGTGTTGCGCACTACGTAAATTCATGATTTTTAAACTAACGACAATATGAAGTTTTTTCCCTGCAGCACACATATATTCTGTTTACTACTAAATGTAACACAATAAAGATTTTTGCAGAGTGGGTAATCAATCAGGTCTGCATAGATACCACGTCAATTTTAGAAAACCATGCATGCCTAAAATTAAAACATATTTTAAACTTTTATCATTGTTGTTAACGTATTTATTAGCTACGAATGCTAAATTAACAAAAATTAAACTGGTGATTTACCTGAATAATAGTTCTCGCCTTGTTGCAATATTCTTTGAACTTCTCCCGCCTCGCTGCCGGACTCCGTATCTGACTGGTGGTGCCATCTGTTGGCGGTCGGTGGTATTGGTCGCGGACCGTCTGCCTGCTGCTGCCACCTAGCGGCCAGCGACTGCACTCGCTGCGTTGTGGGAGTGTTGGCTGCACGTTGCCGACCTACCACACCGTACTCCACGTTGGGTTTACCCGTTCCCGCGCGCCGCGGTATTGGCGGCAACGGGCGGTCCGGCGCTCCCCTTACCTCCGCCACATTCACGTACTCCGTGGTCGACTGTCTCGTCGGCGGTTCCGGAGCCAAGCCTTTCCTCGTCGGCCAGTAGATCTCCCCTTGACTCACGTCCTGCTCGTGGCTAGGAGAGAAACTCACGCGTTTTCCCGCCGAAGTGTTCAAATCTCCCTCGCTAGACGTGGTAGAAAGCAACGTCCCTCTTTTGAATATCGGTCCGTACGTACCGTTCTTGTCTCGTTTCAACTCTTTCCCCTCCTCTATTACCTCCTCGTATATCGTAGACTGCCGGGCGGGACGACCTCCACTGAAGGTATTTCTCTGGTTAGAACCTCGGGCAAAGTACTCTGGAGGGACGCTTCCCGAGCTCCCAGTGGCTGGTGACACGCTTCTGGGTCGTCTAGGACTTGAGTTGTACACTGGCTGAGGCTTCACGAGGTGAGGTACGTTGGGGTTGTAGTTCCTCAACTCCTTCGGGGAGTTCTGTGACCCCGGAGAAGATTCGACGCTACTGGGGTGATTGTGGTTGTAGTAGTAAGGATCGTAGCCACGAGGGCGTAGCCCCTGTGGGGAGAGAAGACCACGGAGTTGCTGTGACACAGGAGAGGTCTTCTGTCCCGGTTGTTTTCCTAGTGGGGCGATCTTCAGTTCCGCAGCCACAGGCATGAGCAGCCTGTCTTGATTGATCTGACCGTAGGGTGAACAGCAGACGTACGGTGGTGCAGATACCCTCCCAGACTGACTGACAGGGATGTGAGACCGTACCTGCGGAGTCTGTGGTGGGTTTCTGTATCCAGGGAGTGACATTGTCTTGGCATACCCGTTGTTGACATTCCTGTTGACATCTCTGATCCACTGCGGACCATTCTCTTGAGGGGACACTAGTGTGGAAGACGACGACGTCGAACTCGCGACGCTGTCCCTGCGATTGTTCGTATCCACTTGCAGTGGTCCTAAATGCGTAGGACGTTCTGCCGGGACATTCCTGTTTTTATCCGGCTTTACATTAGGCGGAGCACCGTTCTCATAGGTGTACTGTTTTGAACCGTTCTCATAGTTGTACTGCTTTCCGCCGTTTTCCTTGGCTCTAATCACATTGGTCTTGGGCACCCCGTACCCCGAGGTAGGACTCCGCACCTCTGGAGAGCGGACATTGGTCCTGCTGGGACTGACACTCTTGGATCTTCCGTAGCTTCTGTTGTCCCCTCCTACGAACGCTGTCTCCAGCACCGTCTTTGTGTTGCACTCCGAGCGGTCCTGGACTGGGGTGGAGGTCCTGCTGGACCCTTGGTCCGCAGACTTTCTCTTGTGCTCTCCCGAGAACAGAGCCGGAGACAACAATCTCCGGATTCCTCCCACCTTCTTCTTCGGCTCATTCTGAGTTTCTATTATGGGCGCCGTTTTTGAAGTTTTGTCAACACTGTTTCGTTCCAAAGTAGACGCCTGTTTAGGGCTTTTATTATTGGAAAACGTATTTAGTTCTTCCTTTAACTTATCTAGTAAAGCTTCATCCACGGATTCTTCAGAGTCTGAGGACCACAGTTGAGAGGCAGCGGCTCTGCCTAGGTCTAGAGAATAGTCTATCTCGTCGTCACTGAAGATGCACCTCTCCAAACTTTGTCTCTTGACAAAGTCGGCGTACCCGTCTTTCTTGCTGCGAGAATTGTTGTTATCATCTAAAGTCTTCACCCGGGAAGACTGAGAGATATCTGTTCTATTCGTGTGTTCAATCGCCCCTTGTTTACCCACTTCTACTTCCGTCCCGTTTATTATTAACCTGGCTCCCTCCAGAGCTTCACTATCAGTCCTGCTGTCTCTCTCTATGCTGTTCAAGAATTCGAGTTTCCTGCGATAAGTAGTTGCCGCGCCCCGCGGAAAGTTCGATATATCGATCGATTCTCGCAATATCGTTCGGTTGCTGGTCGCGGACGCCGGGTTGTCCGTCTTATCAAACACCTGGTTCTTATCACTCTGATAAGACTCGTCTGTTGAAGTGGCGTGGCGTGGCTGCATGGCGAGATCCACGAGATACTCCCACCTGGAACACAAAGCATTCTTTTACTTTTGTCACACAAAACGATCTAAAAAACAAAGATAACAATCCGTGCCTTATCTACTCGCACTTTCTCACCGAGTTGCTCAACACCGAACACAAAGCGAGCTACACATAAGTTACAATACAATCACATAAACAAGGTGACAGATGTATTCATTGTACTGTAATGTTGCACGATCGCGAGAGGCTAGTTCCAGTTGAGTGAACGACTAGAAACGCTGACCACTCCTTACCATTGGCGACCCTTGGTTTGTTTGTATAATGCATGGCGCATAGTTAAAATACACATTTTACATTTTTACGCACGTAAATCATAAGAAAGGTGTGAAGGAAACTTAAGTAAATTTAGCGTTACTGACTAAATACACGTATTTTATTCTGATATAGCTTTCATAAATCAGTCTGCATGAAACTGTATGTAGGATTTACGTACATCAATATTTAAAAAAGTTGTTTTCAGAATATAACTGCAAATGAATAGTAATTGTTATTTTCAGAAAACTTCTATACATTTGTGAAAAAAACATTCCAAACTTACATTAAATTAGAGAAACAAACTTGCTTTTGTAAACACAAACACTAAAAAATAAAAGAAACTGCACTGATAGATTTTTGCGTTAGCGGTTTTCACTTTCACTGTTACCCTTCACAAAAATATGTTTACACAACCTTGGAAGAACCGGTCAATTGCATTATTTATTACATTAACAATTTACAAACGATACGGATTTCGTACCAAACAAAACGTGGCCCCTCGCAGATTGGTGCGGGGGTTTGGCACACGTTTTGATAACAAGAGATAACCTGGGTGATAAGAGCTCGAGGTCGACCGTGCAGAGATAACAGTGATGACAATGCAGAACGCGGAATTGAAAGTGCGAAACTAAAAACGAGGACTTAACCTTTGCCTTTCTGGGTCATTTGATTTGAAACGGTAATTGCGAATAATATTAAGTTAAAAACGTTTGTTGCAAAGGCAAATTAGTATTGATTTCTATGGATTATGATTGATATTAATAACAATAAATATTACCACCTCAACGCTTTAACTAGCAATTGAGTTAAGTTAAACAGGATAATAAATAACTAAAGTTTATGATGTCAATATGTGCTTTTTTTACCAAAATACTTTACACAATCTTAAAAGCCCTATTTCCCCCTCCAAGTCATTAATAAAAAATAGTTGTCCTCGATGTACACGGTTGTTTTGACTATAATATTAATCCAAGTGTTTCACTTTCAAAGTTTCAAGCTGCAATTTTAATGTACAGTATCAAAATAGATCCTCCCTTAAGCTTGAATGTAACGCTAACTCAAAATAGGTATATTAAAGGAAATTGTCTTGTAAACAAAGACATTTGAAAGAAAATGAAATGTTCACTTCCACTACGTCCCATTTTTTTAAGTGAGTAACTATAATAGCTACTTCAAGGTAGAAGTAATTGAGTTTTCGTTGTATTATAAAATCCTACCATGGAAATAAACAAAAACCTTTACTATGTTTTAAGAATATAAATCATTAATATCAATCTTAATGATTACTTTGCGGAAATCCATTATTTACTCCGATCCAAATTATAACCTCAGCTGAATACCTTGTGGAAGACAACAATGCCACAATGTTAACAGCTGATTTTTCTCAATTGCACGTTTCCCGATCGGTATTACAAGCAACTCGGCTTTAAATTAAGTGCCTACGACATATTTATACAAACACAATTATAAAGCCTAATTTAGTCGCTCGTCCTTGCTGGAAATGTTTACAAATAAACAGTCCTACACAGTGTGTACCCGAAGTAATCAGTCTCCGTCTCAGTTTCAGGAGTTTGACAAACTGACAGCTTTTGGCACGCCGCCTCTGTTTATTTCTTTTGTTAAGTTCTTTGTTCTAGTTAACCTCGAAACAAATACAAAGCTCATTACAATACAATGTTCAAAAGGTGGGAGTCAAATTTAGCTTTGCGATCTTAATATAAAGGGATGTAGTGAGTTGTTCAGTAACTCTGTAGTATGTGCGAGCTAACTCTGCTTTTAAGTATACTTAACTAGGTTTTATGTCATATTTTACATTGTTGTAAAGAAGGTGTCAACACCCTTGCGTGGTTGTTATTAAAAGTCAAAGTTGTGTTAGATAGAACCATTGATAGTCCAATTGACATATTGGTCAAAAATTAATCTCGCTCGCGATCGGACGAGCTACCTTAAGATTAAAAGATGGTGAAGTTTGGTGCAAACGGTTTGAATGTTGTTTTTACTGTTATTTCGCCATCCAAAAACAAATTTTGAAATACTAGACATATAATTTTAAAAGTGTAAAAGAATTCGGTCGGTTTTATTTTATTTTGTGGGAAGGTCGTTTATGTACGGTAACTCGATGTATTTATCTTTTGTGTGTTCTTTTTATATTCACTGTCGTTAAAAATCTTAGAACATCACACCTTTCCAAAAATGAATATTTTTAAAAGGCTTCTTCACTTAATTTAACACATACTGTATTGAAATTTAGCTGAGATCTCTCAGGACTTCAACTATTCCTCGACACATTTACACTTGGCTAACCTACAATTCAGTAAATACATTGTGTTCATATGTTGACCGAATGGATGACAAGTTTTCAATTAATAGCTTTATCTGATTTCTCAACACTGATTGGCCAGTTATTCTTCCACTAACATAACTAAAAATACAACTCAATACCTTCAAAAATATACTCTTCTACGATGAGTTTTCTAAACTCCACAGAGAAAACGAGTTACCACATTGCCGGAAGTGTGGTGTCTCGTAGTGTTTGTAGCGGCCAAGCAGACAGCTCTCAGCTAGTGTGAGAAATATGAGCACAATATCAGCCGGAGAGAGAACAGCTGTTTAATAAAGCCGAACACAAACGAAAACACATGGCTTGGTCTTGTGGCTTGGTGCTAAGATGAGGCGGCTTACAACAAAGACACACATCTAGCTCACTCTCGACTCAACGCTTACATTGAGGTTCATTGAATGTCACTTTGACGTATGGTTTCGATTACTGTATCCGACCAACAGTTCCGCGAATCTGTTAAATGTGAACAGTCCTAGTGTAATGCAGTTATGATGAAATTTCTATCACGAATATTGGAATGGAAATGGTATCGATCATAAACATAAACAAGTTATGTCAAAGTCCAAACCATATTTTATTGTTATTAGTATAGGATTCGGGCCAGTTACGTAATTTATGTTTATAATCCATACGGTTTCTGTTCTAATATTCGTGATTTCTATTATTAGCTCAGAATCTTCATTTAGTAGGGTTTTTTATGTATAATTTTTGATTAAAGATATACACATTATCCATCCTTAAATTTAATTCTTGATAAATATGTATTATCTAATAATAAATTCATAGTTTAAATGATCCACACAATTGTCCAAGACCTGAAAAAAAACCAGTTTCATGGTAATAATGTATTAAATATAAAGTAAAGTTAACAATTTAATTAAATTTAGTACTGATACGTGTATTACACATGGAGTGTTCTACTAGGCCTACATTTCAAACTACGCAAATAGACCAGAGACTTGGTCTTAGTTTATTCTGAAATCCGAACAATAAAAGTACCTGATTTATTTCTCTGTTCGATTGATTACTTAATTATAATTATTAATAAGAACTAACAAAATTAGGCCCTACACATTTTCTTAGTTTCCAAAAGGAAATAATTGACTAAGAATTCTGTTTTCGTTTGCTTCACATGTGTAAAATTAACTGTGGAAAAATTAACACAGAAGAACCATTTCCACCTATGCTACATAGGGTTCGTATCGTTTGTCAATTGTAATCCAACCAGAGTGTACTTTTAATCGGTTGGCCCATTACATGCAATGGTGACTGTACAAGATGACCTGCAGGACCAGTTCATTGTCAACCTGGTAATGTCTGACCAAGCCATTGACTTGAGATCTTTGTCTCGCCATCTCATAACCAGTCCTTGTGAGAACTGGCGAAGAATTCACAAATGTTTGTGGTAGACGTACACAACCCTCCGAGAAACATAGTCTATTACAGAGTGTCCAGTAAGTAAACAGCCAAACACCGGGAAATGATTCTATGGGTCTAAATACTGTACAGATAAACCCAAGAATGAAAATGTTCCTACAATCACCACTTTGGTAACCAAATTAAGGTAAAAAGAGACCTACATAAAAATTAACTGTATCCACTTTAAATTAAAAATTTGTAGCAATTTTAGTTCTTATAAATGACTAAAAAGTTACTTTTATTTAGCACCTACAATAGTTTCCTATCAAACGACACCAAGTTTAAAAAGATCTAATAACCAATATCTGAAATATTACGACTTTAGTTGTAAAATAAGGCAAAATGAAGTGCAACCTGTCTAGCTTAGCCTTATTTTAAATTATATTACGACTAAAAACCGTTGGATATGACATGTTAATGTTTTGTAGTAAAGGTAAAAATGCTATCGATTGTCAGAGTGAGTACAAGTGTCAATAAAGATATATTTTATATTATTTACGTGATGAGACTTAACCGAGAGATGATTAACTTTTGACATATTCTCCTAGTTCTTTTAGTTGTTCTCCATAAGCATATATCATCGTTTTATGAGAAAGAAGACGTATCCTGTCAACCACTTGTTATGAGGACATCTCGGACAACCTGCAATCAAACTATTATATGCTAATATTCGGAATATTAACGAGAATTGATATTCCAATGTATGGTAATGATCGGTGGGCTTTGGAATGCTCGATCTCTTGGATACGTTATTTTCATATTGAAGAATGATATGTTCTTCGTTACCAACGTAAATGTCCAACTTTTTGTATAGGAACGATTCTAGTAGATCACAAGAATAGATTAAACTATGCAGATGTTAAATTTGTTTTATGAATGTTATTGTTAAAGAAAATTGGACTTATTCCCGTCTTAAATATGTTTGATTCCAGTTAATTTAACCACAGATTCATAATACATTTTGAAA